CCTCCCAGCCCCAAGCGATCCTTCCACCTCAGCCTCCTGAGTACCTCGGACCAGAGGCACCTAGAGGAACCTAAAACTTTGAACAACACAAGTGTAAAAGTAAAAAGGTGGTTGGGTGAAAAAAACACAGGAGCCACTTGAAGGGTTGTCAAAGGTAGGAAGTTTGGGTACAAAAGAAGAATAATGACTCTATTTTCAGCAACAGTTACAATATGCTCTAAGCATACTTTTTTTTTTTTTTTTTTTCATCTAGACAATTTCTTAGGAACTTTTTTTTTTTTTTTGGAGACAGAGTTTGCCCAGGCTGGAATGCAATGGTGCGATCTCAGCTCACCAAAACCTTAATCTCCTAGGTTCAAGCAATTCTCCTGCCTCAGCCTCCCAAGTAGCTGGGATTACAGGCATGCGTCACCAACTCCCAGCTAATTTTGTATTTTTAGTAGAGACGGGGGTTTCTCCATGTTGGTCAGGCTAGTCTCAAACTCCCAACCTCAGATGATCCGCCTGCTTCAGCCTCCCAAAGTGCTGGGATTACAGGCGTGAGTTACCACACTGGACAAGCACACTTTCGTTGAATAAACAAATGAATGAATGAAGGGTGGGACATCAGGGTGTGTCTGGTGGTTCAGTGACAGGAGGAGGTCTGATGGTATAAAAAGGATTTAAATACAGGGTCTTCTCCATGAGGATGCGCTAAGGAAACTGCATTTCCAGAGAGAGACACAGCAAGCAGGACTGAAAACGGTTAGTCTAAGAGGATTCAGGACAGGTAAGCATGGGGAGGCAGGGAGGTCAGCCAGAATTTGGGGCTTTAAGTGCTCAAAGAGGATTTGAAAAAATCAAAGGAGCAAGATTAAAGGATGCAAACAACTCAGCCCATTCACATTAGGGGGACATGAAATAAAGAGTTGCAAATTAGGGACAGAAGGAAAGTCAGAAAGACTGTTCACCTTGTGAAAATTAGGGAGCGAATGTGAGACTCCATATTTACTGAGTGTGGTTGTCTGTTCTGCAGGGCTCCCAAACTTTCCCAGTCTGTGCTAACTAGCCTGACCTTTGGAAATCCTTATTAGAATGAAATAGCAATGATTTTGGTGTACTTCATTCATTGCAGAATCAGCAGACCTGTGTAAGTGCCCATTTGTAGGAGGCAGGCAATAAAAATTTGCTGAGTAAATGTGGTTCTCCTAGTGACAATTCTGTCTTATGCTCTCCATAGCCTTGATCAGGAAAAACACTCTAGACCAGTTGACTTGTTTGCTTCTTTGTTTTCGTTTTTATAAAAAAAAAAAAAAATTTTTTTTTTTTAAAGACGGTGTTTCACCATGTTGTTCAGGCTTGTCATGAACTCCCGACCTCAGGTGATCCGCCCGCCTTGGCCTCCAAAGTGCTTGGATTACAGGCGTGAGCCACCACGCCCGGGCGCTTCTTTGTTTTTTTAACATGCTAGTTTAAGCTGCAGACTTTCAATGCCCATCTCAGGAAAGTGGGCCAGGGTTTAGACTGTGTACAACAGTCAGTAAGACCTGATTCATTGCCAGCTATGCTTCTCCTCTACCTGGCCAAACTTTAAGACCTCATGTCTCTTTATCTATAAGAGGTTGATAATAATTGTACATTACCCCATGTGTTTGTTGAGGATCAAATGAATCATGTATATGAAGCACATGGATGTCTGACAGTATCCTAATGTTGCTATTGAATGTTACTGCATCATTTATTTACTCTTAGGATTATATTGAATAACAGATGCTTAGTTAAGTTTAATTTCTTTCCAATTAAATGCCAAGCCCTAGGCCATTCCTTGTTATTGCTGTTCAAACTTTTTGGTCTCAGAACCTCTTTATATTAAAAATTGTTGAGGACTCCAAAGAATTTTGTTTCTATAGGATATATCTAGATATTTAGCATATTCAAAGTGAAAATTGAAAAATTAAAATATATTTATTCATTCCTTTCAAAATAAACTGATACATGCATTTGCAGTTTTTTTCTTTTCTTTTTTATCTTTCTCTTTTTTTTCTTTTTTTTTTTTGAGATGGGGTCTTGCTATGTTGCCCAGGCTGGAGTACAGTGGCTACTCACAGGTCGATCCCACTACTGATCAGCATGGGAGTTTTGATCTGCTCCATTTCTGACCTGGCCGGTTCACCCCTCCTTAGGCAATCTGGTGGTCCCCTGCTCCTGGAAGGACACCATATTGATGCCGAACTTAGTGCGGACACCCAATAGGCATAGCGCACTATAACCCAGAACTCCTGGGCTCAAGTAATCCTCCAGCCTCAGCCACCTGAGTAGCTGGGACTACAGGAACATGCCACTGCGCCCAGCAGCATTACATGTTAACTATATTTTCCAGACACACAAAAAATAGTGAGACCAATGGCATTGTTTTTACATTTTAGTACTTTGGCCTAATTTAAGATGGCAGAATTCTCGTCTGCTTTTACAGTCATCTTTTCTGATACATTATTTTTTTGAAATGTAAGAAGAAAATCTGACCTTACACAGATGATGCTAGAAAAAGGAGTATTCTTAGCCGGGCACGGTGGCTCATGCCTAATCCCAGCACTTTGGGAGACTGAGGCGGGTGGATCACCTGAGGTCAGGAGTTTGAGACCAGCCTGGCCAACATGGTAAAACCCCATCTCTAATAAAAATACAAAAATTAGTCTGGCGTGGTGGCAGGCACCTGTAATCCCAGCTACTCAGGAGGCTGAGGCAGGAGAATCACTTGAACCCGGGAGGCAGAGGTTTCAGTGAGCAGAGATCGCACCACTGCACTCTAGCCTGGGCAACCAGGTGAGACTTTGTCACCAAAAAAAAAAAAAAAAACCCAACCAAACAAACAAAAAAAAAACAGTATTCATATAGACTTTGAAATAATTGTGGATATTCTTTGAAACTATAACACAAATTCAACAAGTAGCAGTTTCTTAAAGATGGGTTGCAATATGAAATTTGTTTTTTTTTTTTTTTTTTTGGAGACAGAGTCATGCTCTGTCACCCAGGCTGGAGTGCAGTGGCATGATCCCGGCTCACTGCAACCTCTGCCTCCCGGGTTCAAGTGATTCTTCTGCCTCAGTCTTCCTAGTACCTGGGACTACAGGTGTGTGCCACCATATCCAGCTAATTTTTGTATTCTTAGTAGAGACAAAGTTTCACTATGTTGGTCAGGCTGGTCTTGAACTCCTGACCTCAAGTGATTCACCCACCTGTCTTCCAAAGTGCTGAGATTACAGGCAGGAGCCACCATGCCCGGCCTACAATGTGAAATTTGAAATCATATCAGTGAGGGCCGGGCGCGGTGGCTCACGTCTGTAATCCCAGCACTTTGGGAGGCCGAGGCGGGTGGATCACCAGGTCAAGAGATCAAGACCATCCTGGTCAATATGGTGAAACCCAGTCTCTACTAAAAATACAAAAAATTAGCTGGGCATGGTGGTGCGTGCCTGTAATCCCAGCTACTCAAGAGGCTGAGGCAGGAGAATTGCCTGAACCCAGGAGGCGGAGGTTGCGGTGAGCCGAGATCATGCTATTGCACTCCAGCCTGGGTAACAAGAGTGAAACTCTGTCTCAAAAAAAAGAAAAAAAAAAAGAAATCATATCAATGAACTTTTCAAACTCTGTCATATTAAAATCCATTGATCTACATTGAACTTTGAGTGGATCTTTACCCATGCATGATTTTATAACATTTCATACTGGTCATTTGCAAAATATTGGCTTATACGTTATGAAGCTCTCTAAATTTATTCCCCTATACATTTGTTATAGAATGAGAGTGAAAAAGTAAGATAACATGCAAGATGTCACCAGTGGGGGAGGCTAGCTGAAGCATCACCTTCACCATATATATTATTACAATTTCCTATGGATTTGAAATTAGTTCAAAATTAAAACTAAACAAAACCAATAAACAATATGGTAACTTTTGCTTCCAATATTCATATATATTCCAAATAACTTTTAAAAATTTAAGACCTGGCCGGGCATGGTGGCTTATGCCTGTAATCCCAGAACTTTGGAGGTTGAGGTTGGTGGATTACCTGAAGTCAGGAGTTCAAGACCAGCCTGACCAACATGGAGAAACCCTATCTCTACTAAAAACCCCAAAAATTAGCTGGGTGTAGTCGTGCATGCCTGTAATCCCAGCTACTCGGGAGACTGAAGCAGGAGAATCACTTGACTCTGGAGGCAGAGGTTGTGGTAAGTTGAAATCGTACCATTGACTCCAGCCTGGGCAACAAGAGCAAGACTCCATCTCAAAAAAAAAAAATTAAGACCTATTGTATGTAACCAGATATTTACCATATGTGTAGCTTTTCCTTTATTATTGAATAAAGGAAATAACTTTAAAAAATTTAAGACCTATTGTATGTAACCAGATATTTACCATATGCGTAGTTTTTATTGAAGTTCCAATTTTTCCTCTTAGGAGGAACTTTCTTTAATACTCCATAGAACAGGACTACTGTCCACAGATTCTCATTGTTCTGAGAATGTCTTCATTTCACCTTCTTTCCTGAAAGATATTTTCCCTGGATATGGAATCTGAGTTGATTGGGGGTGATGGCAAGTGGTCTATATAAGAATCTAAGTTGACAGTGGAACAAAATCTTTGAAGTGCTGAAAGAAAAGAACTGTCTTTTTTTCTGATAAGGAATCTGTGGTCATTTGATCTCTGTCTTTTCATGTACAGATTGCACTTCAACGATTTCATCAGAGAGATAATCTTCTATTCTGAGTCACAAAGATAATGACACACGATTTCTTCTGTTCTTTCTAAAGTTTCATTTTTGACAGGTACAGCTAGAGTATTTTTCTGTAATATAACATATGAATCATTTTCCAGCTGAGGTAGGGGAATTGGGGGTTAACCTCACTTGCCAGAGGTCATACAGCAAGCCCAGGCTCCTTGAAAACATTGCTATACAGCGAATGAATTCCTCATCAGCATTCCCTATCTCATAGGCCTTCCATCTCAGATTTCAAAAACCATGATGAACAGAATGGCCCCACAGAATCCCCAGCAAGACCCTTCCATCAACAGGAATGATTCCAGCATTAAGGTGATATCACCACAGGATCCTGCTAGATATCAGCACAAAGGTGATACCACCACAAGATCCAGAAAGAGAACAAAGAAGGATGATGCTTACTGGGAGTATCATCCTCATAGTCCCAGTGAGTATCATCCTTCTTTTTCCTCTTTCCCTTTCCACTGCTCCCTTCTCATGCAGCCCTATGATTGCATTTTGCATTTGTTTTAAGGCAGCTATTGATGTGTTTTTAAAAATCTATTCAAAAAGTCTTCCCATCATAAAAGGAGAAATACATTTCAAATTGAATGGGCCTTTGGTCCATGGATGATTCAAATTATGAGAGATAAGCTAAAAATACAATACATAGAGCAAGTGAGAATGTTTTTCCAGGAGAGAATTTCTGAAGCATAGAGAGATAGAAATTGAGAAATCTCCTTTTCCAGGGCAGGTATATTGTGGCCCAGTATGGTAGGAAAATGAACAAAAAAGAAGCTCATTATTCAGAGTAGCAGTGAATACATGTATGAAGAGATTTATTTACATAAGGTGAATCTTAGTGAATTGTTCTGAAATATGTATGTGTTATTTGATATCGTACCCTGGAGATTTTTTTTGTTTTTCTTTTTTTTTTTTTTTTTTTGAGACGGAGTTTCGCTCTTGTTACCCAGGCTGGAGTGCAGTGGCGTGATCTCGGCTCACCGCAACCTCTGCCTCCTGGGTTCAAGTAATTCTCCTGCCTCAGCCTCCTGAGTAGCTGGGATTACAGGCACGTGCCACCATGCCCAGCTAATTTTTTGTATTTTTAGTAGAGACGGGGTTTCACCATGTTGACCAGGATGGTCTCGATTTCTTGACCTCGTGATCCACCCACCTCGGCCTCCCAAAGTGCTGGGATTACAGGCTTGAGCCATCGTGCCCGGCCTTGTGTGTGTTTTTAGTAGAGACAGGATTTCACCACGTTGACCAGGATGGTCTCTATCTCTTGACCTCATGATCCACCCGCCTCGGCCTCCCAAAGTGCTGGGATTACAGGCTTGAGCCACCGTGCCCGGCAGGAATTTTTTAAACATTGTTTGCATACAATGTCTACCTTTAAAAATATATGAAACTGTATAAAAGTCAATGGTGTTTCTATACACTAATAATAAACAATTAGAAAAGAACATTATAAAAATAACTCCATTTACGATAGCATCAAAAATAATAAGGTACTAAGAAATGAACTTAACGAAGGACTTTAAAGACCTGTCCATTGAAAACTATAAAATATTGCTGAAATAAATTAAGACACATGAAAAGACCCTCCATGTGCATAAATGGGAAGGCTTAATATTATTAATATGTAAATATTACCTGAGCAATTTACAGACTTTTTTTAAATTTTTCTTTCTTTTTTTTTTTTAAGAGACAGGGGTTTCACCATGTTGGTCAGGCTGGTCTCAAACTCCCAACCTCAGGTGATCCACCCATCTCGGCCTCCCATAGTGCTGGAATTATAAGCATGAGCCACCACGCCCTGACTAATTTACAGATTTAATGCAATCCCTATAAAAATCCCAATGGTGCTGGGCGCGGTGGCTCAAGCCTGTAATCCCAGCACTTTGGGAGGCCGAGGCGGGTGGATCACGAGGTCGAGAGATCGAGACCATCCTGGTCAACATGGTGAAACCCGGTCTCTACTAAAAATACGAAAAACTAGCTGGGCGTGGTGGTGCGTGCCTGTAATCCCAGCTACTTAGGAGGCTGCCAGGAGAATTGCCTGAGCCCAGGAGGCGGAGGTTGCAGTGAGCCGAGATCACGCCATTGCACTCCAGCCTGGGTAACAAGAGCGAAACTCCGTCTAAAAAAAAAAAAAAAGAAAAAAAAAAAAAAAAAAAAAATCCCAATGGTGCTTTTTGCAGAAATTTTAAAAATCTATCTAAAAATTTCTGGCGCCGGGCGCGGTGGCTCAAGCCTGTAATCCCAGCACTTTGGGAGGCCGAGGCGGGTGGATCACGAGGTCGAGAGATCGAGACCATCCTGGTCAACATGGTGAAACCCCGTCTCTACTAAAAGTGCAAAAAATTAGCTGGGCATGGTGGCACATGCCTGTAATCCCAGCTACTCAGGAGGCTGAGGCAGGAGAATTGCCTGATCCCAGGAGGCGGAGGTTGCGGTGAGCCGAGATCGCGCCATTGCACTCCAGCCTGGGTAACAAGGGCGAAACTCCGTCTCAAAAAAAAAAAAAAGAAAAAAGAAAAATTTCTGTAACGTCTCAAGGAATCCCAAATAGCCAAAATAATGTTGAAAAAGATGAATAGATGCACAAAGTTGGAGGCCTCCTATTACCTAATCTCAACATTTATTACAAATTAATCAAAGAGTGTGGTGCTGGCATAAACACAGATATATAAACCAATAGAAAAAAAAAACAAGTCCATAAATACATCCTTGCACATATAGTCAACAAGGCTGCCAAGGCCATTCAATTGGGAGAAGACAATCTCTACAACAAACAGGTGTTGGGAAAACTGAATATCCACGTGCAAAAGAATGATACTGGATCCTTACCTTACCATATACAAAAATTAAAATGGATCAAGTCCTAAACACAAAAGCTAAAACTGTAAAACTCTTAGAAAAAATATAGGGGAAAAGCTTTATGACATTTGATTTAGCAATGATTTCTTGGATATGACACCAAAAGGACAGACAACAAAATAAAAATAGATAAATTAGACTATATTAAAAAAAAAAAAAAAAAAAAAAAGCTTGTATGATTGGGCAGGGCGTGGTGGCTCACCCCTGTAATCCCAGCACTTTGGGAAGCTGAGGTGGGTGGATCACCTGAAGTCAGGAGTTTAAAACCAGCCTGACCAACATGACAAAACCCTACCTCTAAAAAAAAAAAAAAAAAGTTGTATGAAAAAAGGACACAATCAAAAAAGTGAAATGGGCTGGGCATGGTAGCTCATGCCCATAATCCCAGCACTTTGGAGGCCAAGGTGGGTGGATCACCTGAGGTCAAGAGTTCAAAGCCAGCCTGGCCAACATGGTGAAACCCCATCTTTACTACAAATACAAAAATTAGCCAGGTGTGGTGGCAGGCACCTGTAATCCCAGCTACTTGGGAGGCTGAGGTGTAAGAGTCACTTGAACCTGGGAGGTGGAGGCTGCAGCGTGCCAAGATCATGCCACCGCACTCATTCTGGGCAACAGAGCAAGACTCTGTCTCCAAATAAAAAAAAGTGAAATGGGTATAGAGTTTCAGTTGTGCAGAATGAAAAGAGTTCTGGAGATTACATACATGAAAGTGTAAGGGTACTTAACACTACTGAACCGTATGCTAGCAAATGGTTAAGATGGTAGAATCAATCTCCTACTGATAATTTAAAATTCTTCTATAAGTATTCTGGGCTAGATGGTATGGAGTATATTAAAGTGAAAGATGTTACATTCCCCTCAAATCCTGTACCAATTTACATTCCCACTAATAATAAATTAGGGCATACATTCCTTACTTTACTAATAAGTCTTGATTTGTAACTAAAAATTTTTGCCAGTCTTCTGTTTGTTTTTCTGTGATGGTTAATGTTGAAAATTTTTGACAGTTTTTTGGGAAAAAAATTAACTCATTATTGAATTAATTTACATATTATAAATGACTAGTGAAGAGCATTTTTCACCATTTAAAACATTATTTTTAGGAGGCCAAGGCAGGTGGATTATGAGATGGGGAATTCGAGACCAGCTTGGCCAACATAATGAAACCCCGTCTCTACCAAAAGTATTAAAAATTAGCCTGGTATAGTAGCATGCACCTGTAATTCCAGCTACTCAGGAGGCTGAGGCAGGAGAATTGCTTGAAGCCAGGAGGCGAATGTTGCAGTAAATGGAGATCGCACCACTGCACTCTAGCCTGGGCAACAGAGTGAGACGTCATCTCAAATAAATTAAAATAAAATAATTTATACTCTCTCCTCTAGACATTTCTTTTTCATGCCATTGATCCAATGTTATGATGGAATTAGTTTTTCTTATTTTGTTCAAATTCCTTGTAAAAGAGAAATGTTTTTCTTTTCTCATTCATACATGTTACAATATTTTCTCTATTGGGATGCATTTTATTTTATGTTAAAAGATTTTTTCTTTTATTATTTTAATATAAACTTCAAAAATTAGCTTTTGAACCCATCTGTAATTTCTTTTCAATGTTGTGAATTAAAATTTTTAATTTTCTTGTACATTAAAGGTCACTTTTTTCTGTTTCTACTGACTAGAAATGTCATCTTTCCATCTATGCTCATGGTTTTTTTTCTTTCTATTCCCCCTTCTAGTGCTAAATTCGATTTTTTGGCACCTATACCAAAGTGCTCCACATGTTACCTGTTTAGGGAATGTTTTGTTAGAACGCATTCTAGCCCATTTGGCTTCCTTAAAAACAACTTTGCATTGCTCTGGGAGAGAAGAACATACAAATTCTGTTTTGTTTTGTTTTGTGTTGTTTTGTTTTAGTATAAAGTTCTCCAGTACCTGAACACTGATGCCTTGTGCTATCCCATCATGCTGTTTCATACTCATCCTTCCATCTGCTAGTGAACTTAACGTGGCAGCGTGCATGCAACGGGTGCTGAATAGATATTGACTGAAAGAGGCCGGGCATGGTGGCTCACACCTGTAATCCCAGCACTTTGGGAGGCCGAGGTGGGAGGATCACTTGAGCCCAGTTCAAGACCAGCCTGGGCAATACAGTGAGACCTCATCTCATAAAATATATGTATTTACTGCAAAGTATGAAAAGCTCTTTCCAGAGCATTCAGAGCAGCAGTCTCCAACATTTTTGTCACCAGGGACTGGTTTTGTGGAAGGCAGTTTTTTCCACAGACTGGCGGGGGAGTGGTTTTGGGATAATTCAAGGGCATTACATTTATTGTGCATTTTCTTTCTATTATTATTACATTGTAATATATAATGAAATAATTATACAAGTCACCATAATGTAGAATCAGTGAGAGACCTGAGTTTGTTTTCCTGTAACCAGATGGTCCCATCTGGGGGTAATGGGAGACAGTGACAGATCACTGACAGATCATAGGGTATTCGATTCTCATAATAAGCATGCAACCTAGATCCCTCTCGCCTGTGCAGTTCACAATAAGGTTCATGTTCCTATGAGAATCTAATGCTATCGGCTGATCTGACAGGAGGTGGAGCTCTGACAATAACGTGAGCTATGGGGAGCAACTGTAAATACACATGAAGCTTCGCTGACTTGTTCATCGCTCACCTCTCGCTGTGTGGCCCAGTTTGTAACAGATTGTGGACCAGTACCAGTTAGTATCCCAGGGGTTGGGGACCCCAGATTTAGGGAATGTGGAAGAATATATTACATACCAAACAGAATTGTTATTCTTTACACCTCATGCAGTACATGGCTAAGACTTTTGCAGAAAATCCCCAGCAGAATGGTAATGTGGAAGTACAGGCTACAAGAACATGGTGAGAACTGAGAAAACAGAAGAAAGTTCAGAAAATTGATATGTACAAAGACCTAATGTATGTATAATTTAGCATGGCTGTTTAATACCATTTCAGTGGTTTAAAAAAAAATAAGCATTTCTTATTGTTTATAAACCTACAAGCTGGCTGGGCAGTTCTGATCTTGGCTAGCATCTCTTGCATGCTTGAGGGTTGACTAGCTGTCAACTCATTTAAAATTGCCTGTGTTGTGGCTCTTTTCTCTATAGTCTCTCATCCTCTAGCAGGCTAGTCCAGGCTTGGAGGGAGAGAGAGTGGGTGAGAGAGAAGGCAGGCATGAGAGCGAGCACAGAAGCATGTATGGCCTCTCGAGGCTGGGGCATCATCACTTTAGAGTGTCACTCTAGGGCTCAATCAAGAAGGTGTGGTTGGGCTGGGCGCAGTGGCTCACACATGTAATCCCAGAACTCTGGGTGGCCAAGGTGGGCAGATCACTTGATGGCAGGAGTTTGAGACCAGCCTGGCCAATATGGTGAAACCCAGTCTCTACTAAAAACACAAAAATTAGTCATCATGGTGGCATGCGCCTAGTCCCAGCTACTTGGGAGGCTGAGGCAGAAAAATCTCTTGAACCTGGGAAGTAGAGGTTGCAGTGAACTGAGATCATGCCATTGCACTCCAGGCTGGGCATTCCAGCAAGACTCTGTCTCAAAAAAAAAAAAAAAAAATACAGGAGAAAAGGAAGAGGGATATGAGGTCTCATTGTACATAATCTACAAAGTGACTCAATAAAACTATTCTTTTTTGTTTTATAAATGTGAAAACTGAGACTCTTCATGTAAACAGACATTTATGTTTTGCCAAATCTCTTTTTTTTTCCTTTTTGTGACAAATGGGATCTCACTATGTTGTCCAGGCTAGTCTTGACTACTAAACTCAAGCTATCCTCCTGCCTCTGCCTCCCTAAATGCTGAAATTACTGATGTCAGCAACAGTGCCCAACCCAAATTTTCTAATAATAATGGAAATATGTGTTTCCTGAGACCATAGCAGTTTTGATGGTCCAGTGACTGAAGTGTGCCTATTTCCAAACTCAAATTTATATTCTCATTCTTCATTCTTTTTTCTTATTTTTTGAGACAGGTTTCATTCTGTCATCCAAGCATGAGTGTGGTGGAGCAGTCTCAGCTCACTGCAGCCTCAACCTCCCAGGCTCAAGTGATCCTCCCACCTCAGCCTCCCAAGCAACTAGGACTACAGGTATGTGCCACTACACCCATTTTGTAGAGATGGGATTTCACCACGTAGTCCAGACTGGTCTTGAACTCCTAAGACAGAGCAAGACCCTGTCTCTAATTTAAAAAAAATAAAATAAACAATTAAGATAATGGAGATAAAACAAAAGTACTTGATGACCATTTCTATCAGTTTCATTCTACCTCCTCTGAGTAGTCATTACAATAGGTTTCACATAATTTTTGTGAAAATTATACAGAAAATTATCATTTTTGTGTGAAAATAATATATAGTCTACTCTGTATATATTCATAAATTATAATTTTGAGTTATAAAGAAAAGTATATAATTTTTTTTTTGAGATGGAGTCTCACTTTTTCACCCAGGTTGGAGTGCAGTGGCACAGTCTCAGCTCACTGCAATGTCTGTCTCCTGGGTTCAAGTGATTCTCCTGCCTCAGCCTCCTGAGTAGTACCTGGGATTACAGGTATGTGCCACCACACCTGGCTAATTTTTTGTATTTTTAGTAGAGATGGGGTTTCACCATGTTAGCTAGGCTGGTCTTGAACTCCTGACCTCAAGTGATCCGCCAGCCTGAGCCTCCCAAAGTGCTGAGATTACAGGCATGAGCCACCACACCCAGCCAGAAAGTATATTTTATATGTCACATTACATAGCAAAATAAGAATTAGTTTTTAAAATTTGTTTTCTATGAAACCATGAACAATGTTTGTTTGTTTGTTTTTAAGACAGGGTTTCAACGTGTTGGTCAGGCTGGTCTTGAACTCCCGACCTCAGGTAATCTGCCTGCCTTGGCCTCCAAAGTGCTTGGATTACAGGCGTGAGCCACCACACCCGGCCAAGGTACTCTTTTTTGTGTGTGTAGCAGGGTCTCACTCTGTCACCCAGGCTGGAGTGCAGTGGTGCAATCTCAGCTCACTGCAACCTCTGCCTCCTGGGGTTCAAGTGATTCTCCTGCCTCAGCCCTCTGAGTAGCTGGAATTACAGGTCCCTGCCACCACATCCGGCTAATTTTTGTATTTTTGGTAGAGACAGGGTTTCACCATGTTGGCCAGGGTGGTCTCAAACTTCTGACCTCAAGCAATCCGCTTGCCCTGGCCTCCCAAAGTGCTGGGATTACAGGCATGAGCCACCATGCCCAGCCTAAAGTAGGTACTCTTAACATTCCCCTTTTATGCTTGATGAAACTGAAGTGGGCTGGGTGTGACAGTTTCCACCTGTAATTCCAGCAATTTGGGAGGCTGAGGTGGGAGGATTGCTGGACCCCAGGAGTTTGAGATTAGCCTGGGCAACATAGCGAGACCCTCATCTGTATTTTTAAAAATTAAAAAATTTTAAAAAAGAAACTGAAGTGAAGAGTTTAGGTAATGGGTTCATAATCACATTCCTAGAAAAGCATCGTTTTAAAAGCAAAATTTCTACTGTTAAACATATATCAGGATTACTGGTTAAAACTTTTCCGCTGTACAACTTGCATATTATGGACTCCTTGGGCTAATTGAATAAGAAACAGATTGATGTTTTCAGAAGACAGCATGTATACATTTAAGTTTCAGAAAGAAATATGCCCCACATTGATGTGAGTTTTCCCGAGGTGTCATTGGTAATTGTCCATACATGATGTTTTCTTGATTTAATCTTCCTTATCATATTGCCCTAAAAAACAACTTAGATCTGCATTTATAACTATTGAAGTATTTATAACTCAAAGTCTATCCTGCCTCCAGGCTTTTTATTTTTCCTTATCTGACACAAAACTGATCTATAGTTTCTTTAATTTTCATTTTGGCCAAGGCTGACTGAAAATACTTTCAAGTATATGATGTTTATTTCCAAAGTCAGGTGGCCACTGGAAAGAATGGGCCAGTATATTCTATACTTTCCATTACAGGTAGTTCAGTGTCTCACTCTTCTGTTGCAGTGATATAGTTACTACTTTGGATCTGAGGGTACAAATTTGACTTTGCCTCCAACCATGTTTGCCAACCACTTTACCATTCATTCAAGGTGATGGTGTTATCAATTTGCTTTTTCTTTTTAACCTTATTTTTAAAATTATGTATTATGAAAAACATTAGAAAGAGAGAACTTAAAGAATAATTACAGAGCTGGTTGCAGTGGCATGTGCCTGTAGTCCCAGCTACTCAGGAGGCTGAGATGAGAGGATCCCTTGAGCCCAGGGAATCCAGACCAGTCTGGCTAATACAGGAAAACTCCCATCTTTGAGAAGAAAAAAAGAATAGTTATATTAAAATCACCTGTACCTACCAATCAACTTTAGTTATTATCAGTGTATATGATGCACCTACTTTGCAGATGGTTTATTTGCTTTTTTTTTTTTTTTTTTTTTTTGAGATGGAATCTTGCTCTGTTGCCTAAGCTAGAGTGCAGTGGTATGATCTTGTCTCACTGCAACCTCCACTTCCTCAGTCCAAGTGATTCTCCTGCCTCAGCCTCCTGAGTAGCTGGGATTACAGGCACGTGCCACCATGCCCAGCTAATTTTTTGTAGTTTTAGTAGAGATGGGGTTTCACCGTTTTAGCCATGTGAACCTGTTAGCCACGTGAATCCTGACCTTGTGATCCACCCACCTTGGCCTCCCAAAGTGCTGGGATTATAGGTGTGACCCACCGTGCCAGGCCTTGTTTGCTATTTTATGAGAACTGCCAGCCCTGGAAATCCAAGCTCATTAAAACTTCTCTCCACTGCTTCTAGTCACATAGTTTAGTGAACATAGTTCCTGTTCCTAACAGTTTCATCTCAGAGTAGGTGGGGGTCCCTCTTTTTTTGGAACAAATAATTGCTGAAGATTACATCTTATTTCATTATCTTAAACATTTTATTTTTTTTCAAGATGGAGTGTTTGTCGCCCAGGCTGGAGTTCAGTGGTATGATCTCGACTCACTGAAACCTCTGCCTCCTGGGTTCAAGAGAGCCTCCTGACTCAGCCTCCCAAGTAGTTGGGATTACAGGTGTGTGCCACCACACCCGGCTAATTTTTGTATTTTTAGTATAGATGGGGTTTTGCCATGTTGGCCAGGCTGGTCTCAAACTCCTGACCTCAAGTGATCTGCCCACCTTGACCTCCCAAAGTTCTAGGATTATAGGTATGTGTCAGTCACTGTGCCTAGACTAACATAGGAAATTTCAAATAAAAATGATGTCTTCTAACATATTACAGTTCAGGGCACAGGTGATAGATTCATCTTTTGTTTGTCTACAAGCATTTTTATTTTGCTTTTTTAAGACATATTTTGGCCAACTGTAAGATTTTAAATTGTCCCAAAGGTTTTGTTTTTTTTTTTTTTTTCCTCCCTACTCACTGAGTCTCACTGTGTTTGAGGCTAATCTCAAGTTCCTGGGCTGAAGCAATCTTTCCACTAAGCCTCCATAGGGCAGGACTATGAGCATGAGCCCCCACACCCTGGAGTGTTTTTATTTGTTTGTTTGTTTGTTTGTTTGTGACAGAGTCTCACTCTATAGCCCAGGCTGGAGTGCAGTAGCAGGAGCTCAGCTTACTGCAATCTCTCTGCCCCTGAGTAGCTGGGTTTACAGGCATGAGCCACCACACCCAACCTTTTAGTTGCTTTTTGAAGTTATCAGAAATCTGCCTCCTCCTTTTATCTGAACCTTCCTTTCTTTTGTTCTGTATTGTTTATTTTGTGCTTAGCAATCCCTTCCAGCAGAATGCAAACATAGTTTTTTCCCTAACACAGCTTTTTGTTTTGGAAAGGAACTTTGGTTTGTTAGTTTGATAAGATCATAGGGCCTAGACTATTCCACAGTTTTAGACGTATTTAAACTCTTTGCGCTCATTCACATTGGAGTCTGCAGAACTACTCTCAGTTTCAAATGCTTTTCTCAGAATGTTCTGCTGAACTTTCCATTGAATTCTGGTTAATATTTGGGGGTTCTCCTCTTCTGAAGCCTGGGTGATGCCTGCTGTCTTCCTTCTGCATCTTTGTGGGCAGATAAGTGGGAAGTCACAGCCAACCAACAGCTCCAAGACTCATTTGAAAAAGACCAAAAAAAAGGGAGGAGTCCAGAAAAGACTGATTACGGACACCAAGATATGGACATAAAGCTTAGGCATGAAATCGTTACAGTCCTATTTCAAGGGATGACATTTTGAATAAATACAGAAGCTAATGATTCAGAAGTATGTAAAAAGCTAAAACATGCACAAAAAACCATTGCTTCCTTTTCTTTATCATCTATACAGTTTTGGTTTACTTAATTTACTTGTACATGTTATGTTTAGATACACACAAGTAGACAGTAAGTTTGTTATTATTATTTTAGATGGAGGCTCGCTCTCTTGCTCAGGAGTGCAATGGTGTAATCTCAGCTCACTGCAACCTCTGCCTCCTGGGTTCAAGTGATTATCTTACCTCAGCCTCCTGAGTAGCTGGGATTACAAATACATGCCACCACATCAGGCTAATTGTTTATTTTATTTTTTATTTTTGAGACAGAGTGTCACTCTATCGCCCAGGCTGGAGTGCAGTGGCACAATCTCGGCTCACTGCAACCTCTGCCGCCCGGGTTCAAGCAATTCTTCTGCCTCAGCCTCCAGAGTAGCTGGGATTACAGGTGCCTGCCACTGTGCCCAGATAGTTTTTTTGTATTTTTAGTAGAGATGAGGTTTCACTATCTTGGCCAGGCTGGTCTTAAACTTCTTTCTTTGAGACGGAGTTTTGCTCTTGTTACCCAGGCTGGAGTGCAATGGCGCAATCTCAGCTCACCGCAACCTCTGCCTCCTGGATTCAGGCAATTCTCCTGCCTCAGCCTCCTGAGTAGCTAGGATTACAGGCACGCACCACTATGCCCAGCTGATTTTTTGTATTTTTAGTAGAGATGGGGTTTCACCATGTTGACCAGGATAGTCTCAATCTCTTGACCTCGTGATCCACCCGCCTCGGCCTCCCAAAGTGCTGGGATTACAAGCGTGAGCCATCGCTCCCAGCCTGGTCTTAAACTTCTGACCTCGTGGTCCACCCACCTCGGCCTCCAAAGTGCTGGGATTACAGGTGTGAGCCACCATGCCCAGCTTTTTTTTTCTTTTTGAAATGGAGTCTCACTCCATCACCCAGGCTGGAATGCATTGGCATGCTCTCAGCTCACTGCAACCTCTTCCTCCTAAATTCAAGTGATTCTCCTGCCTCAACCTCCCAAGTAGCTGGGACTATAGGCACGTGCCACCATGCCTGACTAATTTTTGTATTTTTAGTATAGATGGGGTTTTGCAATATTGGCCAGGCTAGTCTTGAACTCCTGACCTCAAATGATCCTCAAATGACCCACCTCGGCCTCCCAAAGTACCAATGAGCCACAGCACCCGGCCAGGTTCTTGTTTTTAAACAATTTACAGTAAGTAGTTAGGTTGTGGAAATCACAAATGCACCCTTATAGGATGAGTGGGATGGGAAGTGGTTATCTTAATATTATATTAAAAAGTTTCTTGTAGCTTAGAACAAAATTCCCGATAATAGTATGCCATAGACGTATTCCAGAAATATTGTATCACAAACTACTTATTTGAAAGCAAAGAATATGTGCTTGTTAAAACAATGTTATTTAATTAAAAGAACAGGCTCAGAATATTTAAGATATGACTATCCAAAGTAAATACACTTTGAGTAGAATGATATTATTAAATGTGAGCAGAAAAAAATAAATATTTCTAAGTATATTGGATTTCAAATATATACATATAAACTGCAAAAATAAGTTTAGGAATATGTACATTTAAAATGGGATTAGGCCGGGCGCGGTGGCTCAAGCCTGTAATCCCAGCACTTTGGGAGGCCAAGGCAGGTGGATCATGAGGTCAAGAGATTGAGACCATCCTGGTCAACATGGTGAAACCCTGTCTCTACTAAAAATACTAAAAATTAGCTGGGCATGGTGGCGTGTGCCTGTAATCCCAGCTACTCAGGAGGCTGAGGCAGGAGAATTGCCTGAACCCAGGAGGCGGAGGTTGCGGTGAGCCGAGATTGCGCCATTGCACTCCAGCCTGGGCAACAAGAGTGAAACTCCGTCTCAAAAAAATAAATAAATAAATAAATAAATAAAATAAAATGGGATTAAATATGTTTTATATAGGTTATTTTCATCTACGTTCTTAAATGGCATTAGCGTATCGTTTTATCTATAGTGTTTATTTTTGCCTGATTTTAGTATTGGTATTATGGACTTTTAAGTATAAGAAGGGAGGTCCAAGTGAGGAACTTTCCTCCTTTTATTTTTTTTTATTTTTCTAGAACCAGGGTCTCTTTCTGTTGCCCACACTGGAAGGTGGTGACCCAATAATAGCTCACTACAGCCTTGACCTGGGTTAAAGTGATCCTCCCACCTCAGCCTCCCATAGCTGGGACCATAGGCATGTGCTGTCACTCCTGGCTAATTTTTTAAACATTTTCTATAGAGACAGGGTCTCATTATGTTTCTCAGGCTGGTCTTGAATTCCTGGCCTCAACCAATTATCCTGTCTTGGCCTCCCACATTGCTAGGATTACAGGTGTGAGCCACTGTGCATGGCCAAATTTTTGATAATTGTGGGTTGTTTTTTTAATAGAGATGGAATCTCACTGTCACCCAGGCCAGAGAGCAGTGGCGTTATCTCGGCTCACTGCAACCTCTGCAGTGAGTGATTCTCCTGCCTCAGCTTCCCTAGTAGATGGGATTACAGGCATGCACCACTATGCCTGGCTAATTTTTAGTTTTAGTAAAGATGAGGTTTCACCATGATGGCCAGGCTGGTCTCAAACTCCTGGCCTCAAGTGATCCACCTGTCTCAGCCTTCCAAAGTGCTGCAATTGGCCGGGTGCAGTGGCTCACGCCTGTAATCCTAGCACTTTGGGAGGCCGAGGTGGGTGGATCACCTGAGGTCAGGAGTTCAAGACCAGCCTGGCCATCATGGTGAAACCCCATCTTTATAAAAAGACAAACAAACAAACAAACAAAGTGCTGCAATTACAGGCATGAGCCACCACACCTGGCCAATAATTGCATTTTTTAAGAAAAAACACTTTTCCTTTTCATTGCCATTTAAAAAAAACTATACTTCTCCGGGCCCAGTGGCTCAAGCCTGTAATCCCAGCACTTTGGGAGGCCGAGGCGGGTGGATCATGAGGTCGACAGATCGAGACCATCCTGGTCAACATGGTGAAACCCCGTCTCTACTAAAAATAAAAAAAAAATTAGCTGGGCATGGTGGCACGTGCCTGTAATCCCAGCTACTCAGGAGGCTGAGGCAGGAGAATTGCCTGAACCCAGGAGGCGGAGGTTGCGGTGAGCCGAGATCGCGCCATTGCACTCCAGCCTGGGTAACAAGAGCAAAACTCGGTCTCAAAAAAAAAAAAAAAATTAATTAAAAAAAAAACAAACTATACTTCTTCAATCTTCTACACACACACACACACACACACACACACACACACACACACACATATTGCAGTTCTGCTGGAGAACTTCTACACATATTTATTTTTATTTTATTTTGAGACAGAGTCTCACTCTGTTACCCATACTGACACATGACTGTGCAGTGACACAATCATGGTTCACTACAGCCTCAACCTCCCAGGCTCAAGCAATCCTCCCACCTCAGCCTCAAGAATAGTTGGGACCACAGGCACATGCAACCATGCCCAGCTAATTTTTAGATTTTTCGTTCAGGTAGGGTCTCCCTACATTGTCCAGGCTGGTCTCAAACTCCTCCACTCATGTGATCCTCTTACCTCAACCTCCCATAAGTGCTGGGATTACAGGTGTAAGCACATCATGCTGACCACATTTGATTTCTTATGATCTTTTCCCCGAAGTAGTGAATAGAGCCTCAAAAATCCCATAAAAGAAAAAGCCCTGCCAGGCGTGGTGGTTCACAACTGTAATCCCAACTCTTTGGGAGGCCAAGGCAGGAGGATCACTTGAGCCCAGGAGTTCAGCACCAGCCTGGGCAATGTAAGGAGACTCCATCTCTATGAAAAAAATGTTTTGTTTTGTTTTGTTTTGTTTTAACTAGCCAGGAGTGGTAATAGTGCCTGTACTCCTAGCTACTCCGGAAGATGAGGCCAAAGGATTGCAGGAGCCCAAGAGTTCAAGGTCACAATGAACTATGATCATGCCACAGCACTCCAGCCTGGGCAATAGAGCAAGATCCTGTCCTAAAAATGAGAGAGAGAGAAAGAGAGAGAGAGAGAGAATGAGAGAATAAGAGAGAGAGAGAGAGAGGAGAGAGAGGAGAGAGAGAGAGAGAGAGAGAGAGAGAGAGAGAGAGAGAGAGAGAGCCTGAGAGAGCCTATTTGCCAGACAAGTTGGACTAGGTTCCTGAATAAATAAATGAAGAGAGGAAACCCATTTTGAAGAGTGGGTTATACTCAGGTGCAAAGACATGGGGTTTATTCCTAGTTTCTTCTATTTCATAATTAAAAAAAAATTTCAGCTAGCTCTTGCACAGAATATTCCTAGTTTCTAGAAAAACGAAAGTGTGGAAAAGATGAGAAGACAGAGCTACTATCTACTTTCCTGAGGTTAGTAGGGTAGAAAGACTGAGTAACAGAGAAAAAAAGTAAAACGAAGCTTTTCAGTGCAGGTGGGGCAAACTGAAAATCAAGGGAGCCAGTTTCCAGAGTGAACAGACTGAGTGCAGAGAAAACTGAAGAGGTAACCGATGTCCTATCAGGGACAAAATCTCAGAAAGCAGAGAACAGAGCGTGGTTACCCAGGGCTCAGCCATTCAGACTCGAGACTTGGAATCTGCATTTTCTGGATCCTAAGCCTGGTTGGAGGAAAGGCAAGGGAGATTCACAGTGGTGATTTGCTTTTTGTTATTTGTTTTCTTGGTTGGGGGAGAGATTGGTAATGTAAATGTAACCACCCCTTCTTTATCTCTGCCCTGAAGCAACATGGAGAAGGCATCAAGAACGTACTTCATTCACCCACGAACAGTATGAAGAGCTAGAAGCTCTGTTTAGCGAGACCATGTTCCCAGATAGAAATCTTCAGGAGAAACTAGCTTTGAAACTCGACCTACCGCAGTCAACAATAAAGGTCTGATCCCTGAGGTGTCCTTGGTACCCCCATCCAAGCCACATTTACCTATCCAGCCTGGAAATTCCCCACTATCCACCGTGCCCCACAATAATATTCTATTTATTGAGTACCTACTGAAACAATACTAAACTGGGGGCATCGCAAACACTGGCCTCAATTTCATGCAGTTTAAAAGATGAGAAAAAATGAGGTTCAGAGGCAAAGTGACTGGGCCACAGAGATAATAAGTAGTGTTGCTAGAATCAAAACTCCAGAAATCTTGTTTTTAACACTGTACTATAGAGTTCAAATAGGAGAAAGGCTCTTATCCAGACAGACTCCTCACTGAGCGTCTTTTCAAAGCAAGGGCCCGCAATATGTTTATTCATAATGCTAACAACAGACAAACCATACTCCCTCTAACCTCTGAGCCTGCTTAAGCCCGTAACTTTTTTCTTATACTTTTTTCTTTTTTGCTTTTTGAGATGGGATCTCACTATGTTGCCCAAGCTGGTCTCAAACTCCTGAGCTCAAGTGATCCTCTTGCCTCAGACTGTGCTGAGATTACAGGCATGAGCCACCATGCCTGGCCATACATTTTTATTGGAGTATTTCTCATAGTAGAGGCCTCCTAAAATAATCCTTGAAAATCCTTAAGTTCATATTCTTCACCTATCACTAGATCCTAGATCCCTGAACTAGCCTCTCTTCTTGAGTTCAGGACCCTGTCTCTGAATCCCCAGCACAAACTCTGAAACACACCCCCTTTCTTCCTTCCTAGGGTCCCAGACCTGATCTTTGTCATCCCTCCTATTGACTCCAGTCATGCCCATCACTGTTCTTGCAGAACGCAGTGTCATGGTTAATTGGAGAGGATATGAAGATTATAATCTGGCTGTTTTCATTCAGGAGAAGCCTCAAATGCCTTTTCTAAGAACAGACCACCATCTCCCTTCTTCCCCCACTCCCAGGTTTGGTTCAGGAACCGGCGATTCAAACAGAAAAAGCAGCAGCAGCAGCAACAACAACAACAACAGCAGCAGCAGCAGCAGCAGCAGCAGCAGCAATCAGCAATGCTACCAAACCAGATCCTTCGATCCAAAAAGGATGTGCCCACCTTCCTGAGAACACCCATCATTTCTTATGCTTTTTCTCCTGTGGTTTCAGATTTCTACAGCTCCCTTCCACCTCAGCCCTTAGGCCCTTCCAATTGGGCATGGAACTCTACCTTCACTGAGAGTCCCACAAGTGATTTCCAAATGCAAGATACTCAGTGGGAGAAGCTGGTAGCCTCAGTTCCTGCTTTGTACTCTGATGCCTATGACATATCCCAAGTCATAGAACTGTATGATCTTCCTGATGAGAATGAGATACCCAGCTCCTCTTTCCACTGTCTGTATCAGTATCTCTCACCCACAAAGCACCAGGTAGGAGGACAGGGTTCCTCTCTCAGCATCTTTGCTGGTCCAGCTGTAGGCCTATCTCCCATACAAACCTGGCCCAGTATGACAAGCCAAGGCTTTGAAGCCTACAGTCTAACAGACAGCCTAGAATTCTAGAAAACCTCCAATATGCTAGCTGATCCAATATGCTATGCTAACTAATAAATATGGACCATTTAGAAAAGAGGTCTTTTTTTTTTTTTAAAGATGGGGTTTCACCATGATGGCCAGGCTGGTCTTGAACTCCTGACCTCAGGTGATCCACTCACCTCGGCCTCCCAAAATGCTAGGATTATAGGCGTGAGCCAACGTGCCTGGCCTAGAAAAGAGGTCTTTAAATTTAAAAAAAAAAAAATTTTTTTATATAAAAAGCAAAAAGAAAAATGGTGGGGTGCTGTGGCTCACTTCTGTAATCTCAGCACTTTGGGAGGCTGAGGCCAGCAGTTCACCTGAGGTCAGGAGTTCAAGACTAGCCTGGCCAACATGGCGAAACCCTGTCTCAAAAAAAAATTTTTTTAATTAAAAAAAAATTTTTTTTTTTTAAGAGGTCTTGCCTCTTGTACATGACTTTTTTTTTCCTTTGTCTGGTTTTAACCCAAACATCTGGGTCTGTGTCTCTTTGATTTCCATGGAAATGTTGTGAAAAGATTTTTCCAAATATAGCTCAGCAGTATGCGATCAGCCCCACAATTCTCCCTGAGAAGCCTTTCTAGTCCCTTACATGGCCAGTGAGACTACAAAATTCCCTTCCCAAAGCTATTTTGGATTTTCTAAAAGTAGGAGAGTGGTTTGGGGGGTTATCCACTTTATTTATTTTTTTGCAACTAAGTCTCACTCTGTCACCCAGGCTGGAATGCAGTGGTATGATCATGGCTCACCAAAGCCTTCACCTCCTGGGCTCAGGTGATCCTTAGCCTCCCGAGTAGCTAGGACTACAGGTACCCACCACCACACCTGGCCTTTTTTTTTTTTTTTTTTTTTTTTTTAGACAGTCTCACAATGTAACCCAGGCTGGAGTGCAGTGGTGCAATCTCAGCTCCTGCAACCTCCACCTCCTGGGGTTCAAGTAATTTTCCTACCTCAGCCTCCCATGTAGCTGGGATTACAGGCACCTGCCACCATGCCTGGCTAATTTTTGTATTTTTAGTGGAGACAGGAGTTTGCCATGTTGCCTAGGCTGGCCTCAAACTCCTGAGCTCAAGTGGTCCTCTTGCCTCAGCCTCCCAAAGGGCTGAGATTACTGGTGTGAGCCACCTCGCCTGGCCAAAACAGTTTAGAAATAAAGTATATTAGTCCAGGCGCAGTGGCCCATGCCTATAATCCCAGCACTTTGAAAGGTTGAGGCAGGCAGATCACCTGAGGTCAGGAGTTCGAGACCAGCCTGACCATAATTTTTTCTCTATTGCTTTTCTATTCTTTATTTCATTTGGAAATATGAAATTTTTCCAAATGAAAATTTTGTTTTCTTGGGAGGCTGAGGAAGGAGAATCGCTTGAACACAGGAAGCGGAGGTTGTGTTAAGCCAAGATTGTACTATTGCACTCCAGCCTGGGCAGCAAGAGCAAAACTCCATCTCAAAAAAAAAAAAAAAAGAAAGAAAGTATATTAGACAACAACAAAGGAACAATTAACTTGAAATATACAATAACTCTGAACTTGTATATACTTAACAACATATACCCAAAATATATGAGGCAAATTTTAACAAAACTTAAAAAAAAAATTTTTTTTTTCAGACAGAGTCTTGCTCTGATGCCAGGCTAGAATGCAGTGGTGCAATCTTGGCTCACTGCAACCTCCACCTCCCGGGTTCAAGCGATTGTCCTACCTCAGCCTCCCTAGTAGCTGGGACTACAGGTGCGTGCCACCATGCCCAGCTAATTTTTGTATTTTTAGTAAAGACAGGGCTTCACCATGTTGGCCAGGATGGTCTTTATCGCTTGACCTCGTGATCTACCTACCTCAGCCTCCCAAAGTGCTGGGATTACAGTCATGAGCCATCATGCCCTGCTGAAAATTAAAATTCTTAAGAAAATGTCACCAATATATAGTCATATGTGGTATATTCATACAACACTCTCAATAACTGATAATAACAGTCCAAAGAAGCCAGAGAGAAGGAAAGCTTAGAGCAGAAGTAAATGAAATAGAGAACAGAAAAGCAATAGAGAAAAAAAAACTATGAAATTGAAAGCTGGTTCTTTGAAAAGATTAACAAAATGGCAAAGGTTTAGCTAGATTGACAAAGCCCCCAAAAGACTCAAATTACTAGAATCAGAAACAAAAGTCAAGATTTTACTATAAACCTTGTAGAAATAAAAATTATTAAAAAGAAATACTATGAACAATTGAATGCCAACAAATTAGATAATTTAAATGAAATGGACAAATTCCTAGGAAAAGCCACAGAATACCAAATCTGACTCCACAAGAAATGAATCTTATGAATAGAGTTTGCTATGGTATGAATGCGTCCCACACAATTCATGCATTGGAAACTTAATCCCCAAAGCAAGTGTTGAAAGATGAGAGATGAGACCTTTAAGAGGTAATGGGCAGAGCCCCCATGGAATGAATTAATGCCATTAAATTAATAGAAGTGGATTAGTTGTCTCAGAAGTGGGTTCCTGATAAAAGGATGGGTTCAGGCCTCTTCTCCAAATCTCTCTGTCCCCCACCACCAACCCCCACCTTTCACCTCTCTCTCTCTCTCTCTCTCTTCCCTCCTCCTCTTCTTTCTGCCATGGGAGGATGAAACAAGACCCTGGCCAGATGTCGCCCCTCCATCTTCCATCTGAGGCTGGAAGACTTCCTAGCCTTCAGACTGTAAGAAATAAATCTCTCTTCTTCATAAATTATCCAGTTTCAGGTATTCTGTTATAACAACACAAAAACAGACTAAGACAGAGTTATAATAAGCACAGAGATTGAGTTAACAATCGAAAACTTCCCACAAAGAAAAGCCCAGTTCCAGATGGCTTCACTGCCAAACTCTACCAAAATGTTTAAAGAATTAACACCAATCCCTCACAACTTTTCCAAAAAACAAAAGAAAAGGGAACTCATTTTATGAGATTGATATTACCTGGATAACAAAGCTGAACAAAGACCTCATAAGGGAACTATGGACTATAGTGAGTATCCCTTATTGGAAATGCTTGGAACCAGAAGTGTTTCAGATTTGGAGTTCTTTGCATTTGGAATATTTGCACACACATAATGAGGTAACTTGGGGATGGGACACCAGTCTAAACAACTCATTTATGTTTCATATATACCTTATATACATAGCCTGAAGGTAATTGTACAATATTTTAAATAACTCTGCATGAAACAAAGTTTTGACTGCATTTTGACTATGACTCATCACATGAGGCCAAGTGTGAAACTCTCCTCTTATAATGTCACATTAGAGCACAAAGAGTTTTGGATTTTAAACCATTTTGGAATTCAGATTTTCACATTGGGGATGCTCAACCTGTAACATCTCTTCTGAATATAGATGCAAAAATCCTCAGTAAGATCCTTTTGTAGCTCATGAGCATGATGATTGGGCATTCACATGGATGTGTGAGAGTGCCAGCCTCAAACCTCATTTTGACGTTGGCACATTACCTATCTGACTTGAAAAAAATTCTCAATAAAATATTAACAAACTAAATTTAGCAACATATAAAAAGGACATATACCAGACCAAGTAGGGATGGAAGATTGTTTCAACATAAAAAAAAATGCATCAATGTAATACAAGATATTAATAGAATAAAAGACAGGAACCACATGATCATCTTGCTGGCCACAGAAAAAGCATTTGCTGAAGACTCACATTCTTTCTTGATTCACTCAACAAACTAGAACAAACTATAAAACTCCTGTCCTTCAACTTGATAAAGGCCATCTACAAAAATCCACAGGCAACATCATACTTATCAGTGGAAGACTGAATGCTTCCCCACTAAAATCGGAGCAAGTGAAGTGTGGCCACTCTTACGCTCACCAAACACAGTGAGAACATAGTGCTGGAAGTTCTTGGCTGGGGAAAATGGCAAGAAAAGAAAGTAAAAGGCATTCAAATTGAAAAGAAAGAAGTTAAAATATTTCTGTTAACAGATGGCATGACCTTGAAAATCCTAAGGAATCCACAAGAAAACTATTATAACTAATAAACCAGTTCAGCAAAGTTTCAAGATACAAAATCAATGTAGAAAGTTTTTACAATTTTCAACTGCTATTTGCTCATTCCAAATAAGTTTACCTCCATGGAGAAATATGTATGGAAGAATCCAGAGGAAAGGTTAATTTGATGGTTGTTAATCACAGCTGAATTTAGCACATCTGCTCTGAGTCAAAATACATTCAAATAACAGTAGGCATTGTTGAGCATCTTGTATATAGTACATATCATTCGTGTGCCTTATGTGTATTGACATAGTTACATGTGATTACACTAAGTATCATCGCCATTTCACAGTAGGGAAAACTGAAATAAAAAATGGTTACGTAAATTGGTCAAAATCACATACCTAGAAAACACCAAAGTCAGGATTCTATAGTTTCTTTCCTCACAAGATAGCTGAATGAGTTTATTGAGATGATAAGATAAAGAACATCAGATTGGGAGTTAAACAAGCTCTTTGTGGCTTTCCTCTGGCTCTGCCACTAATGAGATGTCCTCTTCCACTAATGAGATGTGTGATTTTGGATGACGAATTTCCCTCTTCTGAATCTGTCTCCTCCTCTGTAAAAAGAGGGAGTTGGACAAAATGATAGCTAAAGACTCCTACAGCCTCTACTTCTCTCACACTGGATTAGCTCTACACCTGGGTCTCAATTACAAACTCTTCCTTTCCCAGCCACCTAGGAAAGACAAGGGCAAGGGGAGGACAGACACTTAACTTGTCATGACAAGAGACAGGAGAAACTGAAGCAGGAAAGCATGTCACTTGCACATGTTGCTGCTTCAGCCAGCGATGGGTTTAGGTGAGGAACATGGTTATAATTAGAGCAGCAACCGTCCTGAATGCTCTGCCAGCCTCCTCCAGCACAGCTGGGCCAGCCAGCTGCACATGCAGGAATCTGAGAGGTTGCTCTAGTCTTGAAAATGATCCTTCTTAAAAAGATTTTCCTCCTTCCTCAAGGGATAGAAAACCTATTGGTATAAAACCTTACTTCCT